GGGAGGACACAGGCCGGACTGAGGGACCCCACTCCCCCGAGTGCACAAATTTTTGTGCACCAGGCCTCTAGTATATATATAAAAGCCTAAGTGACTGTTTGACCTGTAGCTATAATGTGCACTGACCACCAGGGGGCAGACACTCAACACACAGGCATGGAAATTTGGAAGAGACTGATGAATCTGAGGGGAAGGGGGAGCGGGGAGGGTGGGAAAGTTCTTGCAGTCCAGGACCCCTTGGGGGATGTCAGACTGCTGGTTTCAGCCCGATCCCTGCAGGCCAGGCCGAGGGACCCCACCCGTGCACAAATCCGTGCATCAGACCTCTAGTTCAGCTATAAAAGGAAATGAACATGAACTAAAGTTCATGTACTGATGATCAGCATGCCACAACAGGCATAAAAGACCACATATTGTATGACTTCATTTTTATGAAATGTCCAGAATAGGTAAATCCGTAGAGACAGAAAATGGGTTGGTGGGGTGGATGGGGCAGCAACTGATCTAGGCACAGCGTTTCTTTCCAGGGTGATGAAAATGTTCTGGAAGTAGATTGTGGCGATGGTCGGACAACTCTGTGGCTATACTAAAACAACAGAATTACATACTTGAAATGGGTAAATTTTACAGCATGTAGATTATATATACAGAGGTGGGCAAAATAGGTTAATAATAATAATACAATAATTAATAAATATAAGAATAAACTTTCATGTACTCACAACTGTAAGCCTACTTTTGCCCACCCCTGCATATTTCTTAAAAAGGCAGCAGGCCAGATTTGGCCCAAAGACCAGAGATTGCCCATACCCAGGCTACACCATCCCAAGAAAACGAAACATAGGAGAAATGAGGAGTAACAATATGGTAATTCTTACCTGTTGAGCTTAAGAGGATTCAGGTGCTGACAATTCACAGAATCTTAAGGGCAGGTTCGACCAGCTGAGACCTGCAGGCATTGCAGAGCCTCAGGGTCCAGCTAACACTTCACGGTATCATAACAGGGGGTGGGGGGTGGGAAAAGTGCTCTGGGGGCTCCTGTCCTCAACAAGAGCCCAGGGGCTGGCAGAGGTGGCGCCATCAGAGCCCCCCCTCCCCTCCCCCCAGCCTGGGTGTGCCTGCTCCTGACCCCGTGTCTCCCCGCCAGGGAGAGAAGTCCTTTTTCCTCCAGCCGGGGGAGAGGCTGGAGCGAGGGATCCAGGACGTGTACGTGCTGTCGGAGCAGCAGGGGCTGCTGCTGAGGGCCCTGCAGCCCCTGGAGGAGGGGGAAGGTGAGGAGAAGGTTTCGCACAAGGCTGGCGACCACTGGCTCATCCGCGGCCCCCTGGAGTACGTGCCGTCTGCCATGGTGGAGGTGGTGGAGGAGCGCCAGGCCATCCCCCTGGACCAGAACGAGGGCATCTACGTGCAGGACATCAAGACAGGAAGGGTAACTGCCAAGGGCTGGACCTGTCACTGCGCTGGGCGAGGGGGAGGCTCATGGGCGAGGTGCCAGGTGCAGGCCGGAGGGGGCGTCAGTGGCACTGATAGCAGCTGAGCCACCGGCGGGCAGGTATGAGGGCTTCTGTGGAGTGTGTGCCTTTGCCTTCCCTTTGTCTTAAACATCTAACTTCACATGTTAGACACGCCCCCAGGGAGAAGGTGAGCCAGGGTTCAGGATGGGGACTCTGTCCCACTGCAGATCTCGCCCCTGGCGTCAAGGTCTGCCCGGGGTGGGCAGAGGAACAGTAAGAACCGACCTCCTCCCCCAGGCCCTTACCCTGATAGAGTCCTTCCTCTGACCCTCACCTGAAACCTTGACCTTGGTTTGACCTAGGACCACATCTCTGACCTCTCTCTCTAAGAGTCCAACCTACAAGTAGAGCTCAGAATCCAGGTAGTGTTAGTGTATGACATCAGTGACAGATGGCGGCTGTGAACGCAGCCTCATCCCAGAGACTGTTTAATGGCCGGGCCACTGCCCCGCCAGCTCTGCTCCCGCTGCTGGGTGGGTCTCCCCCCTGCACCTTCCCCGCAACCCCCTCCTTGTCCCCTGGAGGTGCGCGCGGTGATCGGAAGCACCTACATGCTGACGGAGGACGAGGTCCTGTGGGAGAAGGAGCTGCCTCCGGGGGTGGAGGAGCTGCTCAACAAGGGGCAGGACCCTCTGGCCGACAGAGGGAAGGAGGTGACCAAGGCGCTGCCCTCGGCTCCCCGGAACAAGACCCGCGTGGTCAGCTACCGCGTCCCACACAACGCGGCGGTGCAGGTGTACGACTACAGAGAGAAGAGAGCGCGGTGAGGGCCGGGCCGCGGGTGGCCGGCGGTGGCAGGCGGGCAATGAGGCTCTGTGTGTCTCACTCCCGCCTCCCTCTGCAGCGTGGTATTTGGGCCGGAGCTGGTGTCGCTGGGTCCTGAGGAGCAGTTCACAGTGTTGTCCCTCTCGGCCGGGCGGCCCAAGCGTCCCCACGCCCGCCGAGCGCTCTGCCTGCTGCTCGGGCCTGACTTCTTCACGGATGTCATCACCATCGAGACCGCAGACCATGCCCGGCTGCAGCTGCAGCTCGCGTACAACTGGTAAGGGGCAGGCGGGCTGGGGTGGGGGCGACGGGGTGGGCAACGGCGGCTTCTGCGGGAGCAGTCCCAGCAGAGCCCTGAGAACGAAAGACGCCTCCTTCAAGTGCTGGGCTGAGAATGAGGCTGAGTGCCTGACCCTGCCGTGGTCAAGAGGGACATGCAGGGGTTCCCCAAACTCATCTGATGCCCCCGTGGAATGACAGGGAAGGTGTGGGCTCCCCTCCTGGGAGCAGGGGTTTGAGCACCTGATTGGAGGATGCTCCGGGCTCATATTGAGCCACACAACTGCAAGGCTATCGGAAGATCTATCAGACACAACGGCAGGAGTGGCTGTGTGGGCAGATAGTCAAGAGTATGTGCTCTGGGGCCAACCACCTGGGTCCGCGTCCCAGCCCTGCCATCTGCTGGCTGTGGCTCTGAGCCAGTGACTTGACACTTCCCTCAGTTCCCCCATCTGTCAAATGAGGGTGACACATGACCATCAGTTTCACTCCAAAGGGCCACGGGTAGGTTCCCTGGGTTGCAGGTTTGATCCCCGGCCCCGGTTGGGTGCATGGGGGAGGCAACCGATCGATTAGTCTCTCTCATATTGATGCTTCTCTCTCTCCCCCTCCCTCCCTTCTACTCTCGTTACAATCAATGGAAGAAATATCCTCAGATGAGGATTAACAAAAATAAACAAAATGTCACAAGCTGATGAAAGGATGCAATGAGCATCAGAACAATGCCCTAGCCGAACTGGTTTGGCTCAATGGATAGAGCGTCGGCCTGCGGACTGAAGGGTCCCAGGTTCGATTCCGGTCAAGGGCATGTACCTTGGTTGCGGGCACATCCCCCATAAGGGGCGTGCAGGAGGCAGCTGATCGATTTCTCTCATTGATGTTTCTAACTCTCTATCCCTCTCCCTTCTTCTCTGTAAAAAATCAATAAAATATATTTTTTTAAAAAAGAATAATGCCTTGGACATCAAGCATGTCAAACTCGCGGGCCGCGGGCCTCATTTGTTTGGTGTTAGCCTTTGAGTTTGACAGGCTTGCTGTACACAGTGAGGGATCACATGGCAGCTGCTGGAGATGGAGAAGATAAGCCACACCTAGAAGCAATGCCCTGCTACTCCCAAGGAGGTGTTCTTTTTTAAAATATATATATTTTTTTATTGATGTCAGAGAGGAAGGGAGAGGGGGAGAGAGAAACACCAATGATGAGAGAGAATCATCGATCGACTGCCTCCTGTACGCCCCCTACTGGGGATCGAGCCCTCAACCCAGGCATGTGCCCTTGAACCCAGGACCCTTCAGTCTGCAGGCCGATGCTCTAGCCACTGAGCCAAACCAGCCAGGGCTCAGGGAGGTGTTCTTTACCTCTCGGCTGAGTGGCCGGGCCCTGATGAGGCGCTGATGTCTTTGGCTGCTAGAGCATGACCGCTAAGAGCATAGACCAGTGATGGCAAACCTTTTGAGCTCGGCGTGTCAGCATTTTGAAAAACCCTCACTTATCTCTGGTGCCGTGTCACATATAGAAATTTTTTGATATTTGCAACCATAGTAAAACAAAGACTTATATTTTTGATATTTATTTTATATATTTAAATGCCATTTAACAAAGAAAAATCAACCAAAAAAAATGAGTTCGCGTGTCACCTCTGACACGTGTGTCAGAGGTTCGCCATCACTGACCTAGAGTGACTGAGAGAATGAGACGGGAACACGGTAAGGTTCTTGGGACTTCACTGGCACATGGTGCACCCTGATCAGCATTCTCTATCCTGAATGACCCCGCCCAGCCAGGAGGGTGGTGTCAGAGTCCCATGTGGAGGTGAGAGGTGTTTCCTGGAGGAAAATGCTTCCCTGTCCTGGGCCCCTTTGCTCACAGGCACTTTGAGCTGAGTGACCGGAAGGACCCCCAGGAGGCGGCTAAGCTCTTCTCCGTGCCTGACTTCGTGGGTGACGCCTGCAAGGCCATAGCGTCCCGGGTGCGGGGGGCCGTGGCCTCGGTCACCTTCGATGACTTCCACAAGAACTCGGCCCGCATCATCCGCACGGCCGTCTTCGGCTTCGAGACTCGGGAGCCCCAGGGGACCGATGCCGAGACGCTGCTGCAGCCCCGGGACCGGGCCGTCTTCCCCCAGAACGGCCTGGTGATCAGCAGCGTGGACGTGCAGTCGGTGGAGCCTGTGGACCAGAGGACCCGGGACGCCCTGCAGCGCAGCGTCCAGCTGGCCATCGAGATCACCACCAACTCCCAGGAGGCAGCTGCCAAGTGAGTGAGGGCCGCCGCCCACAGCGCCTCCCCTGGCCAGACCTTTCCAGGGGCTCCATCTCCAGCCCCCTGCTGGGCCCTGCAGACCATGGCGTCCCCGGATGGTCAGTCTGCTGGTGTCCCGTGGGTAAGACGGCGGGGTCCACTTAGAGTGTGACCAGATGCCACCCTGCTCCTGTGGCTTCTCACCTTGCTTGTGCCAGAACCAAACTCATTTCTGCGCTCTTGCAGGCACTCTGAGTGCAGCCCTGGTCCCCCCCACCCCAGCCCTCACCTTCCAGCCTTCTCCCCAGGCTCCAGGCCCACCAGCTCCTTTCTTTGTTTTGTTTTTGTTAGTTTTAGTTTTTTAAAAATTTTTATTGTTAAGTGTTTTCTGGAGCATTGAGAGGTGCAAATAAGTACCTAGTAAAGGGATCTGAACCATTCTTATAACATCACTAGAGGTCCGGTGCATGTATTCATGCACCAGTGGGATCCCTCAGCCTGGCCTGAGCACTCTCACAATCGGGACCCCGCGGGGAATGTTGGACTGCCAATTTCAGCTGATCCCTACAAGCTAGGCTGAGGAACCCCACTGGTGCACAAATCCGTGATAGGTAATGCATATATGCATATAAGAGCTTTGGTTAATCTAGGAGATTCATCAGTTCCATGTTTCCAGGCCTCTGGTTCTATTTTATTCTTCAGTTTATTTTGTTCATTAGATTTCTTGTTCATTTATTTTGATTTTTAGATTTGATTGTTGATATGTATTTATTGTCATTTTATTGTTCACATTTTCTATCTCTTCTTCCTCTTCTTAAAGAATACCCTTCAACATTTCATGTAATACTGGTTTGGTGGTGATGAACTCCTTTAGCTTTTTCTTGTCTGTGAAGCTCTTTATCTGACCTTCAATTCTAAATGAGAGCTTTGCTGGGTAGAGTAATCTTGGTTGTAGGTCCTTGCTTTCCATCACTTTGAATTTTTCTTGCTACTTTCTTCTGGCCTGCAAAGTTTCTGTTGAGAAATCAGCTGACAGTCATATGGGCCCTTGTTCCCTTGTAAGTAGGTAACTGCTTTTCTCTTGCTACCTTCAATATTCTGTCTTTAACGCTTGGCATTTTAATTATGATGTGTCTTGGTGTGGTCCTCTTTGGATTCCTTTTGTTTGGGGTTCTCTGCGCTTCCTGGACTTGTAGGTCTATTTCTTTCACCAGGTAGGGGAAGTTTTCTGTCATTATTTCTTCAAATAGGTTTTTAATATCTTGCTCTCGCTCCTCTCCTGGCACCCCCATAATGCAAATGTCGGTACACATGATGTCCCAGAGGCTCCTTACACTATC